CTGATTCTCCTTGGTGAGGACATCCATGGCAGGGACTATGGCGGACTCAATTGCCTACAACACACCTTGTATAACCTCCACTTGAAAACACTCCAGGTCCTGCTGGCGTATGGAGCAAATCCTCGGCAGGACAACTTTCGTACAAGGCTGAAGTCTTTCCCCATGATACTACATAGTAAGGAAGGCAATTTAACACAGATGTTGAAACTCTTAGTAGCATCAGGATTTAGGCTTGAAAGATTAGCTCAAACACACATTATAGACTTATTAGGTACGATAAGGTTTGTGAATTTATCGGAAAGGGAGATTTGTAGGTTTTTAAGATTTTTCCACAATTACTATGCTAGCCCCTTGAGTTTAAAATTTCTCTGTCGCATAAGGATTCGTCACAGCATTCCACCTAATATTGATAAGAACGTTATGAAATTGTCATGTTGCCTTCCAACTTCCTGCTTGCATTTCTTGCAATTCCAAGACATTGTTGAGCCAATTTATTTTAATGAATAAATTTTTACCATATGTACCTACCATGTGTTATGGTTGTATTCAGATACACTCCAAACAGAAGTGGAAGATGAATAACAGCAGCCATGTAAGAGTATGTTTTTACCCTACGGTTCCATTCTTTCAATGGGATCTCCATGGGCACCAGAGTCAGAGGAGTAAATGTTTTGGCCCCTTCTTCATGATTCTTGGGGCCATGGCACATAGGACTACATTTCCTTGTCACAGAATGGTTCTGTGGCTAATCATGACAGTGACTCAGTTGGATTGGAATGGGCGGTCATGCTTATTGATTGGTTGACTGCATCGGTTGACATGCAATGGCGATCTTTTTCAGTCAATGGTTTGCCTCCCTTTTTCAAGTTCAATGCGATCCGTGAAGATCCCTTTTTCAAGTTCAATGCGACCTGTGAAGATCCCTTTTTCAGGTTCAATGCAACCCGTGAAGATCCCTTTTTCAAGTTCAATGCGACCTGTGAAGATCTGGGGTAGAATAGGTCTTCAGCAACCCATGCTTGCTGCAATAGGTGACAATGCTTGTCGTAAGAGGCGACTGACGGGATTGGGTGGTCAGGCTCGCTGACTTGGTTGATGTATGTCATCGTATCCCCAATGCATGGATCGATGCTCATGATGTCAATCACTGGATTGTCTGGTCCAGTCTCGATTATTTACAGACCACAGTCATATAGCTGTAATATTGCTGAATGCGGCGTTAAACAACAAACCAAATCAGCCTCTCATCATGGTTGATGTCATGTCATACTTGACCCTAAGTGACTGCATGGAGCGAGTGAGTGGAAGGCTGGTGGTTTGATCCCCAAGTGCGTCATACTAAAAGGGGATGAAAGGACTGGTCAGTTCGGAGTGTGTCCAAGTTGCGTATCCATGTTAAACTGCGGCATGGTATCTGGTAAACTGTGGGCTAGCATTATAAAACAGGCATGAATCTGGACTAGTACAAGCAGACACCCAAACACACATTGCTATATACGTGCAATAATCTTTGAACGTGACATTAAACCCCATCTCAGGGGCACGGGTGGACCAGTCTAATACGCCACAATTCGCTGTTCAGAAGCCTGTTATTGTGGGTTTGTTTCTGGGTTTGTCAACACCATACCTGTTCTCATGGTTTTCACCAAAGTGGCAAATATCTCAACAGGTGGACTGTTGGCTCTCCAGTCAAGCAGTGATATCATGTGATATCACGTGGGTTAGGTGTGGCAGACATTGTTACCACCCAATCATCATTTCAACAGACCTTTCCAATCCCTCAGGAATCCATGATATCAAAATCATCAACATCTAACACAATATACAAATTGCTTTGAACATTCCCAAAAAGGACAAACTCACTTCTAAATTTTATAAAAGTATTTTAATTCCATGTAAAAAGTCTTGATTAACATCACAGATGATATAGGAGATGCTTTGTCAAACTTACTGAAACAATAGAAAAATAAAACTAGTATGATTCGGTAACTCCGACAAGATATGCCTACCTGAGTTCAAGTCTCGGTACAGAAACCAGCAAAGCCAGTCCACATCTTCCCAAGGCAAGGGAGTCAACTGTCCAATTTCCACCCTTGTCAAACTAGGCTGGAATTATGGAGTTGTATTTGGGCATTGACAGATATTTTCCAATCTTTTCATGCAATAAAGGTGCTCAAGTGATTTGATGCACTTCGCAAGACCTGTTTTATTACAATATAGATCTTGATTATCGATCAGATCGTCTTGACTGGGCGTCTAAATTTTGTTTGAAGAAAATGCAAGTGATATGAGAAGCAGAATATGATTGGTTAATAGGAGGGATATAGAAGGGGGATAACTCAAAACTCCCTTGCCTCGGGAAGATTGTCCTCTCACCACTTCTCAGCCTGTGACACTCACACAGCATACAATACATACAACTATCAAGGGTCCGAATACAAAAATCTTAACAAATCTCTATCTCTACTAACAAAGTTTCTATTGAATCTGTATATACTTCTATTCATTTTGGGCTGTTTAAAGCCAAAGGAATATTTAAAGAATTTATTTGTTTCAATGTCATATGCCTGGTGAATTTCATTTATACAAACAGGTTAGGTTCCACAAAACAATCTTATTGCTATTATCATTCCTTAAGGCACAAGAATCAGAAGCTGTGCTTAATATCTTTACATCTTATTGTTTTTTTTATCAAACATTTTTGATAAAATTTAAATTTAAATATTTAGATCTTTGGATTCCTTCAGTCTCAGCAGTCTTAGCGCTAAGATCACTTTGTGGAAACAGACCCTGGCAGACACACAACTAATCTCAATGGCTTTGCAGATTTCGGTAGTTGATACAATTTTTCTTCCCATCTCCACACACCCCAGCTTCGTCTTTGTACCCATTTTGATCAACTCCATATCACAAGTAAGCAAAACATATACTCACCTCTAAGAACCTCAATAAAATCTAGTTGACTAAACAATGAGTCTATGAAAAAGATAGTTGAAAAAAGTTCTATGGTTATATAAGTAGTAGATGTAGAAACAGGAGTAAAATGAATATATGACACAGCAAGGGGGATAACTCACTCGACAACCCATGCTATGTGTTCAAACACTGTACAAGTGCATAGAAGTGGTATTTCAAAATTATTCCCATCCCCCGATATATTTTACACAAGTATTTTTCTATTTCAACCATGAAGGAATGAATGGAATGCTTTTATACAAGAATAGTTGTGAGGATATATGTACAACATGATGGTAAGTGTAAATGCAATCTGGCAATAAATCAAGTTCACGTAAACAATTACTAAACTAATCAAATAGTTTCTAAAAGAATCATAACATCTCATTCATGGAAAGCGCACTCATATACGAATGCAACCATTAAAAAATGAACAGACCTTTGTTCATTTAATTTTTCTTTTTTAATGATGTGAAAATAATATGTTATTATAATTGTACCTTGACTATTTATATTTAGATCTAGTTTCTGTAATTACTTTCATTACAAAAATTAAAATTTAGATTTTTTCATTATGGGGAACAAAAATTATTCTCAAGTAGAAAAGTTTAAAAGCTTAAACTTTGCTATTTAAATCTGTACATATATATAAGATGAATCATAAACAGACTAAAAATTTATATGCTTATGGTCACTGGCAAAAACTAGAAATATTTTCACTTTTCTTGAATATTTTAAGTTTTCAGTTCTAACCATATAGAAAGTTTATCAAGTCTTTATCAAGAAGTGTAAATCTTCGATAATCACCCACGATGCTGAGATCATTAATCTCATAACATAACACACACAGTGACAACATTCTGAATAAGCACTATTACCAGACACTCAAGCACTAGAGCTGGGTGTGTAAGCCATACAATGACTGTAATGCAAATAAAGAAATAGACCACTCCAAGTACAGATTTCTGCTCAAACATTTGGGTTTCCTACATATATATACAAAACATGAACCCTGGTCTCCTCCCCAGGAAGTGGACAACTGCCGTTATTACACCAGATTCTCATTCCACAAAGCGATGTTAGCGCTGAGACCATGGTAAGTCTGTGATTGGGTATACATCAGTCATAATGCTAAGATCGCTTTTTGAAACAAGTTCCTGGTCCCCCAAAAAGCAGTTGTATAAAGGGTACCTGGTAGGATGATCTTTTGGAAAATAATCCAACAATGTTCTTTGAGCAAATACATTCAAAGCTATCTTCAAAAACATGCACGGGTGGGGGAAGTGATGGGGATGAGGGTAGGGGTGCTGTGGGGTGGGGGTGATGTCTTGGGGATGGGTTTAGGGGTGACGTTTTGGTGGTGGTGGTGCAAGATTCAAGTGAAGGTTGTAAATTAAAGAATTTTAAGGAAAGCCATTTTAATATCAAAATATTAATATACGTGCTAAGATTATAGAAGTTATTTGCTGGTTATTTACATAAAGCTAATATACAGGAATTTGATATTTGCAAGTACTGATATAAAAACATATCAGGGAGATCACTTGTGAAAAACCAGTTTGACTAGGCTGCAGTTGTAAATATGTGATACAAGCCAACACATGCTCTGTTGTGTAATACTAAAAGTATTCCCGAACATGCAGAGAAAACAAGAAGTTATTAACTGTACAAAGATCATTCGTAGAATGCAGCGAACATTTCTGACAGGCAAACAAATGTTTGTGGTTCACTCTTAGGCATATTCTTTCAGGATTATTCAAAAGTGGGTCATTTGTGACATGGGGTCAAGTAATGCTTGCTGTACAAACTGTAAGGCCTAGTATTTTCTATTACTTGTTTTACAAAACTATTTGCTTTAAGTTCAATGTAGGTGGTTGAAAAACTTCTAGATTAGCACTGCTACTGCTGCTAATGAATGAAAAAAAAAGAAAGCTTTAGCGTGTCAAGATACCAAAAGAAAACTGGCAGCTTTTTGGAGTGTTTGAATAAAGATATTTACACCATTTATTTTGAACAGTGATGACAAAATCTCATATTTTTTTCAATAGACCTAGTAGTAAAACGGAATCCGCCAAACTGTGTGTCAAAAGTCATTTTATTTTTATTCTAATTCCAGGGTTTTTTGACGGCCAGTCTCATAAACCAAACTAAAAAACTATTAGGCCTAAGAAAAAAATCAAACTTCATTTTCATAAGGATCAAACGATATTAATTGTGTACAGTTTATGTCTGTTCTTGAAATTAACTGCCTGTCAAAAGAATGTTTTCACTTGAAAATTTGAATTGACAAAAATATTACAAATGTTATCAAAATGTTACTAGGCTTAAAAAAACAGTTGCCGAAACACTGCAAACGTATGGTGCACAACACAATGATACCCGTATCAAATACATCACCTTTAAATAACCATTTCTTGTTTGTTTTATTTGAGTGTGTAGTTTCTTTTGCCAGGCAGTTTACTTTCAGGAATTAGGAACATAATACAATTGTGCATTTGTCATTGTCATGGGGTCTATATACAACCAGGATGGAATGTATATTTGAAGCAAAAGTATTACATTTTCAGAATAGTATCGAGCAAATGCATTCATTTTCACAACGATATCAAGCAAAGGCATACATTTTCACATTTTTCAAACTTGAAATAATATTTTGCAACCTTGCAGGATATTAAGGTCACCATGACCTACTGCATATCGATGGTCCACATGTCATCAACTGCTACCATGGACCTGTCATTTACAAACAGGGGGGGCTGGAGACTTGTCACCCATAAACAAGATGACATTTTGGTGGGACCCTCCCTGCTTGTATATTATTTTCATGACTCACCCTTTGAATGTAAAAAATGCCAAAGTAGTTCATTAGAAAAAAAACACTAAACATTTTTCAGATGGAAATAATGTCAATTTATCCACGAGCCACTATAATAGCATTATCTCTTTTTGTCCTGTCAGTCGTGCATTTCTTACCCCTCCAGACAAACCGCACCCCTCCTCCACCCCCAGTCATGTTTTTGTTACCCCTACTGATAACCTCAATCCCACACCACTTCCTTTCCGTAACACATAATATCATCCCTATGTATACAGGTATTAAGCTTATTTTATTCAAAAACCTTACAGCATGATATTTTGTTTAAAATGATCAGACAATTATTCTGAACACACAAGTTCATTTTTTTTCCATCTTTTCAGTTGTTTTTAAAAAAAATTGTCATAGTTATTCACGTTTGTACATTTACAGAGAACTTTGCTTATACTCTCACAATGCCATCTTAGCTCAGACCAGACCAAAATAATTACTTGTCATACGCATCCACATATCTCTTTTAGCCTTTTTAACAAAAAAGGATAAAAAAAATCCTAGCAAGAAATAATTGTTCAGTAACCTTTCATGTTAAAATTTATACAGTTACATTGACATTTTGACATTCTCTTCCACTTTGTTCACTCATCGAAAAAAGTCCTGCAATTTTCATTAGGAAAACATATTACCTCTGAAAAGATTATGCTCAAGTAAATACAGTAAAACAAATACCTTAGTCACAGATTTTTTTATATTAAAACAAGCAAATTTTAGTTATTGCATTTTCCCCATCTTGCCTTATTTTGATGATATAACTAAAAAAAACATGTAATTAAATTGATCTGGCCTTATCACAATATTAAATGTGTTTTTAATTATTAGCTTAAAGAACTCTAATAAGTACTATTTATTGAGGAACCTGCTCAGACCTGTTCTTGGGTGAATCCCTGTGATGTAGGTATGCATATTAAACTATTTTCTACACCCTATAATATGAAACCTCGGCTACAAAAGACAAAACATTGTTACAAAGTTAACATACATCTACTAATAATATGGCTTATATTTTATATATGAAATCGAATTAAAAATGCCACATGTACAGATTGTCTTTGAATATTCATATATCATATCAACCATTAGGAGTATAACATCTTGATAATATACCCTCCCGTTGATGTTGTGATAATATGCATATACATGTATCTACAGATGCTCAGTTCTGTATGTGACCAATTTGTCGAATTATGTTGCATGTCTTTGGTTTGGATGCTATAAATATTCATGTTCAAACAAAACCATATGAATATTCATAATTCCAAACAATGATTATACACTCTCATGAATATTCATATATTCAAATAAAGGAATATAAATATTCATGTGGAAAAGACTGACTATGACATCACAAATGCCTGATGAATATTCTAATATTGTTCAGATACAAGTATTTGATGAACCTTCATGAATATTGATATTGTGAATATGCAAATATGCTTGAATCTTGTTCAGCCAATCAGGAGGTGAGGTTGGACATGATTGTCGCAAGGTTTGATGGTGTTCATGAGATGAGAATGATGATATTAACTGGCTGCAGCATTGGTGTGAAACATTCCATCACAATCAACACTGTTCTGTTTTCTCCAGCCATCCCAAAGGACAGTTAATCACAGCTGAAAAGACAAAAGAAAAGAAAATCTTCAAAAAAATTGTCACAGCAATGTTTCTGAAGATAATAAATAATGTTGAACAATTTATATAGCAGTTCACTTACTCCTCTAGAATGTAAAGTGGCCAATTCATTATCATAAGCAGATAGATATAGTGTATATTTACAAGAAGTGCCATTGTACTGAGATCCCTCGACTCTTTCGACTCCCACAATGTCACACACTACTTCACTGGAGCCCTCCTTACAGACATGTTTCTGTTAGTATTTGCATTGCATCACCTTTTTATTGGGTAGCGATAAGTTGATATTTCAGCCTATTCAAATGAATATGTTTATCCAATAAGTGTAAGTTTGTTTAAACACAGCTTTTTAGTAAAATGACAGTGGGGTCATCAGGATATTACTTCACTTTACACATGGTACCATGGAGATTAAAACTGGACCTTCTGTGTGCTGAACAAGTGCTGGACCACAAGGCACAAGTGTACATACAACAGTGATGTGACGGACAAACCCACGGCCCACTTGCACAAAACCATCTTAGCGTTAAGATTATCTTAAGCCTATGTTAAAGTATGGGAGTTACGATCATCTTAGCGCTAAGATCGCCTTGTGCAAGTGGGCCATGGGAAGTAGGTGCACACTCAATAGGAATCAAGGAAAAAATACTTTAAACAAGACAGGGACAGGAAACAGAAAATTAACACAAAACAAACCACCCCTTTAATATCAGGAAGAAAACAAAGAACTATATCACATAATGTAACCAATAGAACCTTTCACAACTGATTCTCGTATTTCCCATTCTCAATCTGCCTAACCTTTTGTAATTATCTAAATACCAAGTTTCTCATCACCCGTTCGTTTACCGAAATTCGCTAAGGGGTAGATCAACGGTGTAATTTTTTTCTGCGCTTGATATTCAATTTTTTTTCTTCCAAAATACTGAATCCGCTAGAGGGGGTTGCGCATTATACATGGGTGCGCACTATACTCAAGAAAATACGGTAAATGATTATACAATAACACTGATGTATGTTTGTATATATTTGTGATCAGTAATAGGGTGAGGATGGTATCTTTATAAACACCTGTAGCCTTCTGGCTTGGTAAAATGTGGACAACAGTTCCATAGATTTAGAACATTATTCCTTGAGTGTGAGATAACCATAATGTACACACACCATTTAAAGAGACGTTTTCCCGAAATGATGATCATGATTATCACAGCCTTGTTGCATCAGCTAAAGGCGCTCTCTGAAAAACATAACATTTGTCATCTTAGGACTCCAAACTGAGATCTTAATCAGCATATATTTAGCTACGTTGGCACATCTTCCATTATGCTTGGAACCATGCAATTCTGTGTTGAGTAAAATACTGAGGTTCCTACTTGGTTTGCAACTTTTTTTTCAAAACAAAAGTTTTGTGGTAAAAATATAAATTCTTTTGTTTCATTTGCTTTTTAAATGTTTTTGTGATCTGAATAAAGTATGACTGCATTTGTAAAATAACAATATACAGCAAATGAAATGGCTGCTTTGATTGCTGCAGCGCTTCTTAGATTGTGCCAAGAGTTACTTCCCTTTCCATGTCTATCTTCTCTGGATCTCTCGTTACTGAAATTTCCTACCAGATTTGAAGGCAACATTTGTGAAACCAAGCAAGAAACAAAAGCAATGCTTAAGGTGTATATCATGGCTTGCAAAAACATTCTTATTACAAAACACAAAGGCTCAAGGATTAAACCAAGTATTTGTTTCATTCCAAACAGCAGCTAACCACAAGTCTGAAATATCTTTTAAGGATGTCTGCTGGTTTGTTTATATGCGTGCTCACAAGCATACTAGTCAACATTTGCTAAGGACCAAAATAGACAGACAATAGTGTGGTCCTTAGCAAATTTTGAGTAGTATATTTAACTGTCATGTTTCATTTACAACATCATACTAATATCATCTTGAGTTCCAAATTATAAAATGAGAGACAAGTGATTACCGCTTTATGCTGTATCCGCAATTTGTAGCAATTTATTGCCATAAAAGGAAAGAAACACCATAAAAGATATGGCAAAGTTGATCAAATAATAGATTCATTGCATTGCAAAGTTGGATATTGTTTATGACAAAATGAATACAAGCAGCACACACAGTGTCTGTGATGATGATGACGTCATGCTATTACATCAATATGTCATACTGCAGCAGTGGTTATCAATTTTGAGAAAAAATATATACGATAAATGAAATTTATTTCAAGGTGGTTAAAAGGTGATCACCTTGTGCAGTGAGATGAAGCTAACAGATATTTAAAATACTGTATTCGACATAATAAGCGCCCAGGGCACTCTCAAAATTAGAAATGGGGGCTCTTCTTAGAATATTATTTTTAGTGAAAACCACAGAGTTGAAAGATCGTAAATTTCGTGGTTTATGCTGACAGCCTGAAATGTTTACACACGACAGATATATTTTTCCAGAATTTAATTGCCCATTAATAAGGGTGCATATAACAAACGTATTATGCACGAATAAATAGTCCTGTGTACATTTATCAATCGGAAGGGGTGCTAATTGGAATTGTTCACTAGCCAGTATATTAGCAAATATCGCCGTGGGCGCTTATTAGAGCAGGGCACTTATTACGTCGAATACGGTACCTCAGTTTCTACAGACCAGTTGACATCCTTATATATACACAACTGCTATCCTAGGGGGGGGGGGCGGGGGGGCAGATATCGTCCTGCCTCTAGTGTACTGGCCACATGGAGATAAGTAACAAAAAGCAACATAGGTAGAAAAACATACTTTCACCATGTCAAAAACATTATTTGTATAAGGCCACAACAAACAAAGAGCCTGACCACCAGATCCATTAAGTCGTCTCTGACGACAATATAAGTTACGAGGGACCTAATCTAGGGACCAATTCCCGTGGGTCTATTCATGAATATGATGCATAGTTCAGTGTAGTCTAGGACAATAGCCATTAGATGCCTTTTTTATGAGAAAGTTGTCACCTTAGATGCAGAATGAAACGTTTGTTGTGGCCTTTGTGAGTATGGAGTATTCAACATAATGTGCCGTGTGGAATGTGAATCATCATGCAGATATCGCTGCCATCTCCACTGACCTTACCATCGAGTCCAGTTGATAGTTCTCGGTGTCGGTGGAATTGCCATTCTGGTAGTCTGCTATTTCTTCAATTGCCTTTGTTGTGGTACTGGCACGGCCATTCTTTATATTCTGGAACAGTTGCACATCAGTTACTCAGGGGAGCTCATGATACTGATTAAAGGCACTCCAGAAGGTGAGGAGGTGTTGGATGAGTGAGTTGGTGAGTTGGATGGGGTCATGGTGAGATGAATGGGGTCATGGTGAGATAGATGGGGACATTGTGAGATGGATGGGGTCATGGTGAGATGGATGGGGACATGGTGAGATGGATAATGTCATGGTGAGATGGATCGGGTCATGGTGAGATGGATAGGGACATGGTGAGATGGATAAGGTCATGGTGAGATGGATCGGGTCATGGTGAGATTGATCGGGTCATGGTGAGATGGATGGGGACATGGTGAGATGGATAAGGTCATGGTGAGATGGATGGGGCCATGGTGAGATGGATGGGGACATGGTGAGATGGATAAGGTCATGGTGAGATGGATTGGTCATGGTGAGATGGATAGGGTTGAGGTGCGACAGCTGGTGAGTGAGTGAGTGAGTGAGTGAATATGGTTTAACGCCGCTTTTAGCAATATTCCAGCAATATCACGGCGGAGGACACCAGAAATGGGCTTCACACATTGTACCCATGTCGGGATTCGAACCCGGGTCTTTGGCGTGACGAGCGAATGCTTTAACCACTAGGCTACCCGACCGCCCCCGACAGCTGGTGAGAAGGATAGGGTTGCGAGGAGGATGCCTTCACAGCCGGTCACAGTGAGATGGATGGTGTCATGGTGAGATGGATGGAGTCATGGTGAGATGGATGGTGTCATGGTGAGATGGATGAGGTCACAGTTAGATGGATGGGGACATGGTGAGATGGATGAGGGTACAGTGAGATGGATGGAGTCACATTGAGATGGATGGGGTCATGGTGAGATGGATGGGGTTGCATGAGACAGACAAGTTTGAGGTGTGACAGTTGGTGAGAAGGATGGGGTTGTGGTGAGAAGGATGCCTTCACAGCGAAATGGATGTGGGTATGGATGAGGATTTGGGGAAATGAGATGAGGGTTCAGCAGGAGATTGAATGAGGGATGGGTAAGCTCCCAATTACCCTGTTTATTGCCTTACCCCATTGGATGGAAGTGCTTTCCTCTGCGAACTGAGGACAGCGTCATGGACGGTGACAAACACCTGCTCCTTGTCGTTGGTCTTGAAGAACCCTGTCTTCTCAAGCATCTCACGGACGTCCACTGTAACACACAGACACACTCAGTATGGCAGCAGGAGGCAAAAATGATTTTAAATTTATATTTCCGACTTGGTATCCCATCAGACAGGGACTTCAGGGCAGCGCCACATACACGGTCAAAGCAAATAAATCACCATTACATAAATAATATTGACAGATTAAAATTAAAAGTCACCTGAAACAGCATTTTAAGCAGAAAAATCTTGAAACAAATTCTAATCATTAGTGTAAAATACCCAAGGGAGTAGAAAATAATCAATAGCCAATGTGAATGAAAACTTGTGAGTGTATACTCAATGGCTCAAACATTATCTGGAACCCTGGTGAGTTCTCACCTTTACAATGTGCCAGTAGCACCGATACATGGACATCCCTCAGTTCATTGATCACCTGAAACATCAAAGTTCACACTTAACATACCAGACAAAATTGTTCAGCAATGATCTAAAACAGATCTTACCTGACAGCAAGTTTGAACAACAAATTGTTAAATGGTAATTATTTGTTACATATTCAATCATGAGAGTCAATTCTAACAAGCCTGTAAGAATGTGAAGTGATGTCCCAATTTCGGGGAGAGCAAGGACCCAAGTATCGTGATATATACTGTTATATAATGGATAGTGTTATCAATGCGATAAACTAGTCCGATAAGCTTGTATCACGATCACATAAATATCCTTTCACCGAGCAGGAAATACTTTTAATCCCCATACATCAATACAACGTCTGCTTAATCACTACATTTATTGACTAACGCTCCCACTAAGTTTAGATAGTGTTTTCCCTATGTGGGGTGTTTCTGTAGACAACCATGGCTACAAAGAATTTGGCACTATATGGGCGGTTCACTCTAACATTGTTTTCATACACAGTCTCCAAAGTTACTTCGAGTGAAAAGTGAAAATACATCTCAAACATAAATTACTTTGGCAAAGACATTATATAGAAAAAAATACCCCGCTTGCATTTGTATGGTTTGATATGATTAAACCTTGAAATTGAATCACAAAGTGATGCATAAACGTAAAAGAATTGGACACCAACATAAAAAAGTTCTCGAAACCTGAAGTTCCATAATGGCGTGTGACAACCTCATCAGAGACATCCGTCGGAGCCACATTTCAGCAAACACGTATTTTGTATCTACTATGGTAATTACTAATTAACGTTTACTTTTTACCCCCCAAACCCCCTATTATTTCAGCGACATACAAAAATGATGTCTATAAAAAATTAGTAATCGCTACTAAGGATTGAGTATCCGGTATCTTGCATTCTGGCCATATAGGGAGATAAACTTTACTGTCCATTTGAAATAGTGCACATACAAATTCAACACATGTCAGAATCAAATCCTGAGATGTGTTTGAGTGCATTGTTCCAACACGTATATGGTAGACAGGCTGGTAACCCATGATAGCATAAATCATTTCACTGTGTCTAAAACTAAATATTCCCATATTCACTTCCATCAGTATATTATATTTAACTACAAAATCACACACAGCTAAAAATCTCCATACATGTGAGGTAACCATAACATGACAATACAGCCATCACCGTTTCCAAGACACTGCAGCACCGCCTACCTGTCCTAGAACCTTTACACCAACCGAGTCCACGTAGCTCATCGTGGAACAGTCAATGATCACTGTGTGGACTTCCGAGCCTCTCAGTGGAATTGTACTGATGTTTTCTGATGAAATCCGCAAATGAACATCTGTAGAATTGTTGGTCGTTTCCTGCAAATATCACAGTTGTGAAATATAGACATCCGAGGCATTCTGACACAACCAAGGGACACAACTCTGCAAGCAAGTTTTAACAGTCTACATCCCATGCCCTTCACTAGTGTAATATTCAGCAACTGCACATTGTCTTTTTTTTTAGGAAAGCACAAAGTGATGCAGTACCACTCTGGTGAAACCCATGAGCACAGGTATGGTGCTGACAAATACACAATCATAGGTTTGTGGCATGCCCAAGGGATGCAACTCTGCACAGCATATCCCGGCGCCTTAGACAACTGGGCCACCCTTCCGCCCATCTTTTTTGGAAACCCAGACAGATTTTGTTGATTCGACAAATTTGCGTTTAAAATTAATATGAGATCAGTGTTGAAATCATTGTTGTCGTTGTGGAGTTCTGCAGAGTATTTTCCTATGTATTTGGGTTATGTATAATTGACATACAGTATGTAGTTTTGATATCAATTTACCTGAATGAATGAAACAAGTTATCCTTTTAAAAGGTCTTCATTGTATTACATTTAGTTACAATAAGTTTCTCCATCTTTGAGAGGTGTTTAGATAACATACACAAGTTCACCTTTCACCTAAATGCACTGTTTCCCTTAATCATCCCCGAAGCAATAGTAAAGGCTGTGACAACTAGTTATGTTTTCTCTTATTTTTAACAAACATTCTGATGGTATATTATTTTCAAAAGGTTAAACTAATGCAATTGCGGCACAAATAGTTTTATCTTTGATATGAAAAACATTACATGAATTATATCAACTCACATTGTTGAAAACAAAACATGTAAAACAATACCAATTACAATTGCATGCTTTGGGCAGAACAATTACCTGCCCATTGTGTGAAATGAGCAAACTGGTTGCCCATATTGTGAAATATTTGAAGAATTATTTTACATTCACAACTTTTGCCCATTGCATGCAATCTGCAGATAATTGTTTGCACGTTGCGTGCATTGGGCAAGCTGTATTGCTCATTGCATGCAATGAGCAGATAATTGTTTGCACGTTGCGTGCATTGGGCAAGCTGTATTGCTCATTGCATGCAATCTGCAGATAATTGTTTGCACGTTGCGTGCATTGGGCAAGCTGAATTGCTCATTGCACGCATTGGGCAAACGGCCTGCCCCATGCAAGCAATGGGCAGTTGCACAGATAGGGTGTAACATAGACTGATGGTGCCACTGCTGGCTTACCTTGACAATCTGTGTCTGTGAGCGATCTTCCTTCTTCTGAAGTTTCATGGCTTTCTTGATCATCTTCTTGAGAGCTTTGGGATCGGCTGCCAGCTTGTATATGGTCTGTTTGAAATGTTCTGTGTTGGCAAAGAATAGTGCAGAATCGAACCGGTAGATCTTGATTCCCGAGATTTCGCTAGCCTGGAGAGAAAATTCTGTTTTATAACTGGTTTGATAAAAAGTGGCTTTGACTTGTCATGGAAGAGATCAACAAACGAAAAGTGAAACAAGGCAACAGAGTTATTTCCCTTTGAATATCTTTGTAGTTCCAAGCAATGATGCATGGTCCAGTGGGTTGGTTTCTGTACATCTGGAGGCAAGAATAATAGGGTTCACTGTACTGTGAAGAAAATAGAATCCATTTTCGAGGGGGACTATGTTCTATGGTTTTGTGTCTATGGTTTTGTGTCCATGTTCTTGTGTCCATTTCCAGTCTAGACCTAGGCCAGCGATCCAGTGATTGATATTATGACCACCTGATCTATAAGTAGGTGGGGACCTATTTTAACCAGGAATCCCCTAGGGGGTATATGGACATCCATGAATTGTTATGTTGATATTCATAATAACTTTAGATGCTAAAAAAACAAAGCTAAAAGAACAAAGTGGGATTTGAGGGACTTAAAGCAAACTTTGCCATCATCGTTGCTACTTACAGCTTTGTAGGCCTTGATATCCCTGTAGAGATCCGTGCCTGGCACATGACCCATCAGACATGCGTACGGCCTGCAAACAATCAGAGACACAACTAGAACACTACACACTACAACACTTCAACACTTCAACACTACAACACTACAACACTTCAACACTACAACACTACACTACAACACTACAACACTACAACACTTCAACACTACAACACTACACGACAACACTACAACACTCAACATGCAATAACGTGTCGCCGAGGACCCAGGTTCGATTCCTGACATGGGTACAATGTGTGAAGCCCATTTCTGGTGTCCCCTGCCCTGATATTGCTGCAATATTGCTAAAAGCAGCGTAAAACCATACTCACTCACTCAACATGCAATACAAGCTGATATGGTGAGGTGAAATATTTGACATCGCATTTAAGATTATTGAACTGCTATAGCATGTGTGTGTGAGTGTCTACTCATCCCAGTTTTATACTGCTAGTCCACTGAAATACCATGATGCAGTTTAAACATGGAGGCACCACTCAGACACAGTATACTGACTCCAAGCCAACAGTCCTTGTTCCATCCTCTTAAAGCCAGGCAGGGTAACAACAAGTCACATCTCTTAACGTCTTTTGGTGTGACACAGCCAGGGGATCAAACCAGTGAGCTTCCACTCTCCGTCGTGTTTCATTGTTAGAATGTTTAAATGGAGAAGTAATAAGTGATTGAGTGAGTTAGGTTTTAACACCACTTCGTATTGTATTGAAGTTATATCAAGACACCCAAGCTTGATGTAGGAGAAAAGCAAAATTTATGCAAGTCTTTGGAGCATGGGTTTGGGGGACAAATATAGAAATATAATAAGGGCAGACCGGGATTCGAACCCAGAATCGTAGGTTTCTGGCACGATTAAGGGACACAGCTCTGCCCCCGGAGTAACCAATAACCCAGTGGTATTCAACTCTACTGTGGGTGCATGTGTGTCGTCTAAGGCGCCGCAATCCACTGTGCAGAGTTGCGTCCCTTAGGCATGCCAGGAACATTTAATTATGGGTTCTAATCCTGGTTCGCTCTGATTATGTTTCTAGGGTTGTCAGCACCATACCCATGCTTGTAGTTTTTACCACAGTGGTAAACATCTGAGACCTGCATCACTTCAGGCTTTCCTCCCACATTAAGCTGAGACACCATGATATAACTGGGATACTGTTACAAATGGCGTTAAACCCAACTCACTCACTCAGTCAACTTTACGGAAGCTGGTACTGACCTCTGAGACCTGACAATCACGGTGAGGAGAGCAAATCCCACGCCGACGCCGAGACCAAGATCAACATCCAGGAGAACAGTAGCAGTCCACGTCACTAACCACACCAGCTGCAGAAGATGGAGAAACACTGAGAATCAGAGACTGAAGGCTTTGATTAGCATTACTTAGAGATGTACAAAAACCAATATGATGATGTTTAGATGAAATCTGAAATATTTTAAGAGAATTTTGCATTAAATATACTTACAAAATCTACAAGGGATATTTTCCACAATCGTTTCAGCTCCAGGAACTGCTTGAACATTCCCTTCAGAGCGACAATGATAATAGCAGCGAGCACACACTGAAAATGCAGAGAAGAGTATTGAAACATTTTAAGTTGTCTGTTTCTGAATTTACAAAAAAAAGAAGATCTTTTATTAATTTTTACCCAGTTTTTCTTCCACATTTCTAATGATTGCAGTAATTAATATAATATCTAAATGATTACTTTATCAAAATCTTTCAAATTGGTGATGTTGAATCTAAACAAGGTACAACACAACATTAGCAATTTTCAAAATCATCATATTTTCCTGTGACATGAACCTTTAATATATAAGGCAATAATATCAATATATAATCACATCAAATGATGATACATGACATTTGCAATTTGGGTAATATTTTCCTGGAATATTAATTTTAAATTTATGGAAAATTTTATATTTCTTGTTACAGTATACTGTACTTACGTTAGGGAGGGAGGCAAAGTATGGCCCCACCAGCAGTAGCACGATGAGAAGGAGAGCACTGGAGAACAACCCTGCCACCTGCAAAACAAAACACACTCTACATCTGGTAAGTTCTCATACACCCGGGGTAGAATAGGTCCCCAGCAACCTAGGCTGGTCCACCCCATGGGGAGATGACCAGTGAAGATTCTGGTTAGAAGTGGTCTTCAGCAACTCATACTTGTCGTAAGAGGCGACTATGTTTATAAGAGGCAACTAACAAGATCAGGTGGTCAGACTCGCTGACTTTGTTGATGCATGTCATTGTATCTCAATTGTGTAGCTAGATGCTCATGATGTCAACCACTGGAGTGTGGAGTCAAACAAAAAACAAAAAACAAAAGAACAAACAAACAAACCATGGGGATTCTCAGGTAGATTTGCATTAGCATGTGCACCTGAGTTAAAAATTCATGAGGTCAAATATAGGTAAAAAACACAACTGTCATACAATTTACCAGATTGACTGCAAGCAAAATCACTGACTAAAATATCCTTCTATCTTCCCAGCTGTCACACCCTCCAATGTTATAATAACGTCACTCAAAAGTAATAGCAACTATCTATAGCAATATCTTCACTTCATGAAGGGTAACACTTGGTAACAAATCCCTGCCAGAACTGACAGTTAATGACACAAGGATATCACCAATTCAGCAATTTCAATATCCCTACTAACCAAGGGAGATAACTGTTGCACGTACCTGTGTGCGACCTCCGACCCCCTCCTGCACCAAGCTACGTGAGAGTGAGGCTGATGCGCAGAAGGAGGAGAAGAAGGAGCTGAAGATGTTGACGATGCCGTATGCCAGCAACTCCTAGAGCAGAAATATATCATTGGATCACAACTCTCAGCATATCCTTACTGTCTCAACCAAAATGTATTTTGCGACCATTATGCTGATCAACGGTGAAGCTGCTTGGCTGCTTGGTACTATACATTTGTCTGATGTTTGTGGTGGTTCTTAGACTTTCACAAGCATCATTAATAACACATTTACATGTATATCAGTCAAAATCAGTGTACAGCAAATAGTCGGTTTTCTACTTAGCGTAAACTTTCTAAAAAACCACGAAATGAAAATAAAATGACAACAAGCGGCGTAAAACCATACTCACTCACTCACTCAGTCACTTGACTAGAACTTTCAGCTAGACAGTAAGACCAGCTTTACAGAGATGTTTTCTAGCCCAATTTAAAAGTCACACATCTGCAATATTCCAGCAATATCATGCCGGAAGTGGGAAGATTTGTTGCACACCGTACCTGATTAGAATCGACATCATAGTCATGTTTCTTTGCTAGAATCTTTGCCATTGACACGGAGATGGCGAAGGCAACAATTCCCACGGCTACTGCATCGCTGATAACGTCAGGAAGATACTCAAACTGTTGGGCCTTGGGGGCAGGGATGCTGAAATTCACAAACTCAAATTCAAATATATTTTAATAAATACAAGTTCATGTTTTTTTGTTGTTTAATGTCGCACTCAGCAATTTTCCAGCTATATGATGGAGGTCTGTAAATCCAGTGATTAAAATCATGAGCATCTATCCATGCAGTTGGGATGATATTGTTTATGTGAGTGAGATTATTGCTGTATGTCATGACATGTCAGCTTAATATGGGAATTAAGACATGATGCAGGTCTTTGAAGATCTTTGCTCACAAACCAAGGTCATAATCAGGGTGAATCTGGTATTTGAACCCATGATCATAGGATCATGTCACATCAAAGGGATGCAACTCTGCACAGCATATTGCTGTTCCTTTGTGACCATGATGACTGGGCTATCTGTGTACCGTACCAATTATTAAAGTAAAGAACAATAATTAGCTAATTTCCTGTTTCAGCAGTACTGACACTTGGCAGACATTGTGGCCAACGGATCCTCATTTTATCAGATACAAGCTTGGTCTTATCTCCCCTTAATATCATGTAGAATGTGAGTTTAGATGAGCCCCAACCTGATGATGTAGGCCAGGCAGGCTTATAACTCACCCGACAGGAATATCACCAACAATCTTCACATCAAAGTTCTGATTCAGGTGGGCAAACTGTGAAATCACAGTACCAAGCACAACCTGCAAGAGACATACATGGATGAACAAGTCATGTCAGTGGGTGGATGTAACAAAGGAAAAAAGGAAAGATGAGTGGCGGTATTAAGAAAGCAAAAACGGAGGAAGGAAGAATGGTCAATCAAGAAAGACATGATGGAAGTGGAGTGTAGGTAGAAAGAAAGGAGGAATAGATGAAGGAAGGGAGGATGGATGAAGGATGGTCAAGGAAGGAAGGAAGAGTGGTGTACAAGGAAAAGAAGGATGGATGAAGGATGGTCAAGGAAGGAAGGAAGAGTGGGGTACAAGGAAAAGAAGAATGGATGAAGGATGGTCAAGGAAGGAAGAGTGAGGTACAAGGAAAAGAAGGATGGATGAAGGATGGTCAAGGAAGGAAGGAAGAGTGGGGTACAAGGAAAAGAAGGATGGATGAAGGATGGTCAAGGAAAGAAGGAAGAGTGGGGTACAAGGAAAAGAAGAATGGATGAAGGATGGTCAAGGAAGGAAGGAAGAGTGGGGTACAAGGAAAAGAAGAATGGATGAAGGATGGTCAAGGAAGGAAGGAAGAGTGGGGTACAAGGAAAAGAAGAATGGATGAAGGATGGTCAAGGAAGGAAGGAAGAGTGGGGTACAAGGAAAAGAAGAATGGATGAAGGATGGTCAAGGAAGGAAGGAAGAGTGGGGTACAAGGAAAAGAAGAATGGATGAAGGATGGTCAAGGAAGGAAGGAAGAGTGGGGTACAAGGAAAAGAAGAAAGGATGAAGGATGGTCAAGGAAGGAAGGAAGAGTGGGGTACAAGGAAAAGAAGAAATGATGAAGGATGGTCAAGGTAGGAAGGAAGAGTGGGGTACAAGGAAAAGAAGAATGGATGAAGGATGGTCAAGGAAGGAAGGAAGATAGGGTACAAGGAAAAGAAGGATGGATGAAGGATGGTCAAGGAAGGAAGGAAGGATGGAAGGAAGGAAGGATGGTCAACCAAGGAAGGAAGAGTGGACGATGGAAAATGAAATATTTCAATGGGCATTATGGGCATAAGGACATCTCATTCACAAACATTTCCATGTTAACACCAATTACTTTCTTCCAGTTCAATATTAAATTAAACAGGCTCATGCACTGTTTTAAGAAGTTATGGAGAAGGACATGTCACGAACCACAATGAGTTCTATAGGCACAGGCATCTTGAGTTTGGGTTTCACTTTGGGGTTGTTGTTGATGCACTCCTTGACGACCGACAGCAGCAGGATGCATAAGATGGAGGCTATCAGCGTCACAGCATTCGTCTCGGGGATGTTCATGAAGAAGTCTCGGTATGACTGAAGGTAAGAACACAACTGTCACTCGCAGACAAAGATATCCACATTCAACCAACATGGTTTGATCTAAAAGAGAGTGAGTTGTATTTGACTCTGCATTCAGCAATATTCTAGCCATATAATAGCAGGCCATCATGTGGGGAATCCAACCCATGTTTCTGGGGTCATCAACCGATGCTTGAAACACCAGGCTAGTCATCATGATGACCTCCTGTTATTGTGGCTGCAGCTGATTCTGAGCCATTCTAAACATGCATTTAGTGATGCCATTATAAGTCATTGTGAAAAATTATAGAATAAATATTTATCAACCAAATAACATGGTTTAAGTCGGAGTAATCACTTGAATATGTTAATTTTAGAAATAGAATCAACTCCCCCTTCGAGGCTCACTGATTATACATCTGTAATCAAAGATTCTCATGATTTCCCCATTACGTAACCATGGACAAAAACCATCTGTAATATAATTAAAAAGCCATTGTCAGAATAATCCTGAATCTTGATGGATGATACCAGAAATACCTGCAAATCTGATTCCTTTTATACACAATTTGTAAAATTTAAAGATTTAGGCGAGCAAGCCCTTCAAAAGATCTCCTGAAATTAATAACAGGTTATGCCACTTGCTGGTACAACTATCACCTCACTACATTTTCTACAGACCCGTGAAGATTAGAATACGTCTTCAGCAACCCATGCTTGCCGTAAAAAGCGACTATGCTTGTCGTAAGAGGCGACAAACGGGATAAGGTGATCAGGCTCGCTGACTTAGTTCATGCATGTCATTGTATCCCAAATGCGTGGATCGATGCTCATGATGTCAATCACTGGATTGTCTGTCCTGCCTCGATTATTTACAAACCGCCATTATATAGCAGGAATATTGCTTAAGAGAGCGTTAAACAACAAACAAAAAAACAAAACAAAATTCCACAGTGATACTGAATCAACCCTTTAGATGATTGGGAAAATAACAAACCAGCAGGTTAGTGGTTTATTTATCTTGACATCAAGATGTTTTATGTATCGCTTGACATTTTTAGTTATGTTTTACGTCAACATAAAAACAAAACATAAAAGAAACATAGTGACACGTTACCTGATCATCTCCTATTAATAAGGTCAACATTTGGCCGTTATATACATCGCCATGAACCAAACAGTACAACATGTTATTATAACCCCTTAAAGCCCAAAATATCATAAAATTCTCATTTCTCATTAGCTGCATAAGTTTAACAAATATTTGACATTATAGATCAAATCACTAAAATCAAAATGTGAAACTTATGATATAAATAATTTTCAATAAATTATCATCATATTCATAAATAATTCAAATTTAGTACTAACAGTAACAGATCCACCTTATAATCTTTATGAATTCATTAATACAAAACAGAAACATAAAACAGATAAAACAATAACCTTTTTTTCGCAAAAAGCATAAAGCAAACTTTCTACAAATAAAACATGTAGAAAGAATTTTCACACACCCAAAACCTTAATGTCTAAATAACCCTTTGTTTCATCCTACTGCGGATTACTAGATAAATGTATAAGTTTCTTGTATGCCCTCAGGGCAAACATGAAATGCATTCTGATTTTGTGGAGGAACAATAGCTTTGACAAAGACAGTAAGTTTCATTGGATGGCGAAATAAACACCTTCTGTTTCCAGCTGGAGTATAAACACATAAGGAAATACATTTCACTCTGAGATATAAAAGGCACACTGTACCATGCACTGCCTTGTCACAGAACAGGCCATAAACTGTTCCTGTCCATTCAAAGCTATTCGTTTTTGCAAGAATATGTAAATTCAGAAAATGCAAATTTTTGTGCTGAAGTCATTTTTAGTGTTCTTAGAAAATTAGAAAGAAAGAAGGGAATTAACTTTTGTTATGGTGTGAGTCTCACTAATTAGTATCACTAAAAGATAATGTGTACTTAAAGAAAAGGATATATGATAAGGATGAATGATAAGGATGTATGATAAGGATGTATGATAAGGATGTACGATAAGGATGTACGATAAGGGCTTAAGTTGGCCAATAATATTGAGCCATAGAATAAGGGCTCTTTTGGCCGCCCACTGCACTTTACACCTTTTGCAATAATGGTCACTGGTCAAAGACCAGTGAAAATCTGGAAGAACTAATCTTTTTCTACCCAAATCTGGTTATAATAATCTACAATTGGATTTAACTTATGGTGTCTAGACCTGAAAACATAATGAAAGAGCTGGAATGAAAGACAACCAGCATTTTGTATCTCATACACTTGTTGCTAAATTTAGATTTGAGAATAAGAGTAATTACAGCATTAAAGGGGCGGTGTCTACACACTGCGGTGGTTAAAGCGTTCGCTCGTCACGCCGAACACCCTGGTTCGATTCCCGACATGGGTAAAATGTGTGAAGCTCATTTCTGGTGTCCCCCGCCGTGATATTGCTGGAATATTGCTAAAAGCGGCGTAAAATCAAACTCACTCACTCACTCACTACAGCATTAAATGTATGAATAAGGTACAATTTTTGGACACATTTTTAATAGGAGGATGTTCTGATGATGAACTAGGAATTTGTACCTAAATGTCTGCACATACTGCTTACATAATTAAATGAATGTCAAGTGTATCAATAAACAAGATTTTTTCAGTACAAGTGAAGGTAAATATGGGTTGGTTCAGGATTTTTTTTTAACTACATAAAAATCAACCTGTTAGATTGTATTTAAATTTCCGTAGGAGCAGAAACACTCTTACGCATTAATTTTCATTGCTGGAGTTGTACAAACAATAGACTTTAAGGCCAATATTTACATTTTGATTAAATTAAGTGCCAGCTTTTTCACAGAAACTAGCATGTGTTATACAACTGACAAATTTATATTGTGGGAGAAAATTGGGTCAGGAATTACAAGACATAAATTTGTGAAAGGGAGGTAACTCTTACCCAAACTAGTTTGAGTGGACCATAATATCTGCCCATCTGAACGCCGAATATATGTTTTATCTGGCTTGTGAACACATGGCATGCTGCACCTGTCGTGAAACCGCTAACGAGGGGATCGGACAGGTAAACTGTGACAAAGCCCAGCCGACACAGACCCATCAGCAGCTGGAAACAAAGAAATCGTACAAATGAAAGTGTGTGCTTCAGTGCATGTAAAGTACTTCCCCACAAAGGTGAATCAGGGAATATATGCATACACATGGATAATGGCTTGTCTGATTTTGTTTCATTGCATATCACATATAATCCTTCCAAAAAACTCACATCAGATTTAAAATCATTGGCAAAGACAGATAACTTGATTATCCTATAGGCCTACAAATGAATGCTCAGGTGCAAAATTCCAAATTCAGATCACTCAATGTTTTTTAATAAGTAAGTATTTTTCACAAAAAACACAGCTAAATGTTAGGAAAATGATCAAGTAGGATGTCACTAAAATATTTTGGGTTGATACTTTAAATAAATATTTTGAAAAATCCGAGGAGGAATTTTTTCATAAATCTGCTAAATGATTCTTGGTTTCCAGTTTTCTGTGACAAGTTTAACTCACTTGAATACATCCGATTCCAAATGTGACAGCCATGGCCAGCTTGAGTTTGGTGCTGAGTATGAGGGCATCCATCACTTCGTCTCCACCAGTGTCGGTGCCATTGGTGCCATTGCTGAAGGTCAGGTTGTCGCCGGACACATTAAACAGCACCGGTGCTAACGTTGTAATATCCTTTTTGTTTGCTGCTTCTAACTGTTCTGTGGTGAAGCCTCTCGCTGTCATGCCCTTGTCCACTACAGATCCTACCATTAAACTCACAACAGCAAATGTGCCTGGAAAACAAGGAGAATTAAGGGAATTTTTCATTCTGCTTGCACTGCATCCACCTTGGGAATTCAAGTTTTCAGCATCAGGAGCAGATTAGTAAACTACTTGGCTTCAACAGAAGGAAAAACTCTCTACAGCATTCAAACTTTCAAAATCTTACTTTGATATGCTAAAAATGCTAAAAATTAAAGGGTAAGGTCTTTGAGGTTTGCTGGTATAGGATTTGAGAAAGTGATTTTGGTTCAGTGCCTCCTTGAATTGTATTTCAGTTATACATGTACATCATTGTAGCATTTGTCAGCTTGATGTGGGAGGAAAGTGATGTCCTCATTAAGGATTTCAAAGTGAGAGGAAAGTGATGTCCCCATTTAGGATTACAAAGTGGGAGAAAAGTGATGTCCTCATATAGGATTTCAAAGTTGGAGGAAAGTGATGTCCTCATACAGGATTTCCTTGACTTTCGTTCTTTATTTTAAAAACTGCTTAAACAATATTTTACTATCATAGCACAAAACTTACCTATAGATATATGTTTCGATGTTCCGAACAGGAAGTAGATGAAAACTGGGAAGAAGGAGACATATAGACCGAAGACGGGCGGTAATGTTGACAGTTGGCCGTACGCCATGCCTGGAAGAAGAGCCAATATTATTACATATATTCAAACAAACAAATTACACAACATCAACAACAATAATATTGATGTATATCATAGGAGAATACAAATTTTAAAGAGAGCATAACATAAATCCCGGGTCCAATTTAAATCACGGTGCGTCAGGCCAGCAAGCAGCAGAAACCAAAGTTTGAGTGATCAAAAAATGTTTGTGTCTACACACTGCATCTAACCAAGGATAAACATGGAGTCATTAATAGGATTCGAACAAGCAGACCTAAACTGGTTCCACTGTTGGTATGCAACACAAGCTTAGTGCTTTTAGCCCATGAGGACTCAGGTGGCCCCAAAAATGGTACAAATCGGTTCCATATCTGGTTACAGGTGCACATGTATAACCTCCAGATGGTTATTAATTATGAGCGTAAATAAACATGGAGACATGCGTTCACCTCGAAAGTTTGTTTGGTGTAAAAATAATTACAACAAACTTCTCAGCTAATGTTAATTTTGTCAAGAGACTCAAACAAACTTCACGTAGTCTGCTATTTTGTTTCCATTTGTTACGGGGACCAATCAATGCTATGTTTAATTTTGTCCAATCACAGCCTGCGATAAATCGGCCTGTCTACTAGTTAAGGTAGACATGAGCCCAGTCAACACAAGACCCTGACACAGCTAAGGGAAGCAACTCTGCACAGCAAGTACTGGTACCTAAGCCTACTGGTTAGGCAAGGCAATAGTGCTGAAGGTACCCAGGTAATAAATCTACAACTACGCCAATATGATATACAATCATCTCAAAATCATACTGTAAAGCCCTTGCCTGTTAGTCGTACAACACTACAACATAAAAATACTCTGTCATTTTACATGGAATAATATTGTAACAAGTAACATGTAATTCGTGGTGACCTCTTCTCCTGTCACCATTAAAAGTGAGAAATCCCCATGTACATGACACTATCCTCTGATGAAACCTGACACCAACACTTCCCCTGACATGTTTACACCCAAAAAGATTTCAATAAACTTCTTTCACAAAGAAAATACCGTATTCACCGTAATAAGCCCCCTTTAACCTTGGAAAACTGACAAAGGGGGTGTTTATTAAAACCATTCACAATTAGTTAAATTTGTTGTCTGACATCGAGTGGAAGGGAACAAATTTAGTTCAACTGTCGTAAATAAATGTTTTCGATAATAGTTACTACGCAATTATATTTCCCTTCTACATTGCTGTTTTCTGTCAATAATCTGCAATATACACAAGAAAGTATTGACTGTCATGTAAATTTTCGGTCTTTCTTGTGGGCATTTATAATGATTACATAGATACTGGACTTGATATGCTTCCTTGTCTGTTTTAAAGCAGAAACAATCTTATTTCAAGCAAAATATACTATAACATTAACCTACCATAACTAAATACCATCACGAATACCTCACATCTTACCCATGTCATGACTTGTGTCGTTAACATTTTCATGACCTCATAAGCGACGCAGAAGGGCCAGGGAGACTGAGCCTGTTTGTACTACACATCTAATTGTCTTAATACAACATCATTATTTGTGCACGTATTCCTGTCTTACCCCACACGTCCATTTTAATATTACAAAGAACGATGGCGTCAGCTGGAACATGGAAAATGTCAGGCAGAGTTTGAATGGGGGATTTTATTAAGTATGTTAACGTCTAAAGTTCTTGAATAATGGTGTAATTCATGTACAGGATCTAATTATGTTACTGTGAACTAACATTGTCACATGCAGTCCATGACAAGACACAGGTTCTTGCTGATATTGAATTGTGAAATATTTACATCATCTTTTGGTGGCGGTCTTGGATAGAAAGCAGATTGGTGATTGACATTCTGTTACTAGTTGTAGGACAATAGTAGGACAATAGTAGGGCAATAGTAGGGCTACAGTAGGACAATAGTAGGGATGACAATAACAATGATGGAATTTATGTTTCTAGATTATATAGGTATATCCTTGCTTATCCAATAAACTATCAACTAAAATAAAATACTAATTACATTAATATTTATGCATTTCGGTTCATTGTTGACTTTAGGAGGAAATTATTTGCGAGTACAATTAATGGCAGACATGTTGTTTTTTTTAGTCTAATAGAATTAAGTCGCCACAAGATATTTTCAGGGTAGTCATTTGGCTACCTCTGAATTTTAGACAGTAGACAAATTGAAATTTAGGTTGCATTGGCGACCGTTTTAGTTGCAACTTTGAGGCCTGTAGTAGGACAATATGGCTATAGTAGGGCAATAACAGGTCAATAGGGCTATAGTAGGACCATAGTAGGGCTATTGTTGGACAATAGTAGGGAAATAGTAGGACAATAGAGCAACAGGAGGACAATAGTAGGGAAATAGTAGGACAATAGTATGGCATAGTAGGGAAATAGTAGGACAATAGGGCAGCAGGAGGACAATAGTAGGGAAATAGTAGGACAATAGTATGGCATAGGGAAATAGTAGGACAACAGGGCAACAAGGAGGACAATTGTTGGGCTATAGTAGGACAATAGTAGGGAAATAGTAGGACAATAGGGCAACAAGGAGGACAATTGTAGGGCTATAGTAGGATAATAGTAGGACAATAGTAGGGAAATAGTAGGGCAACAAGGAGGACAATTGTAGGGCTATAGTAGGCCAATAGTAGGGAAATAGTAGGACAATAGGAAAACAGAAAAAAACAATAGTAGGGCTATAGTAGGGCAATAGTAGGCAAATAGCAAGGCTACAGTAGGACAATATTAGGGAAAGAATACAACAACAGTAGGGAAATAGTAGGGCTATAGTAGGACAATAAAAGGGAAATAGTAGGACAATAGAAGCACGATAGTAGGGCAATAGTAGGACAATAAAAGGGCGATAGTAGAACAATAGTAGGGCTATAGAAGGGTGATAATCGGGCAATAGTAGGACAATAGAAGGGCGATAGTAGGACAATAAGGCAACAGGAGAACAACAGTAGGGAAATACTAGGACAATAGAAGGGCAATAGTAGGGCAATAGTAGGACAATAGAAAGGCGATAGTAGAACAATAGGGCAACAGGAGAACAACAGTAGGGAAATACTAGGACAATAGAAGGGCAATAGTAGGGCAATAGTAGGACAATAGAAAGGCGATAGTAGAACAATAGGGCAATAGGAGGACAACAGTAGGGCAACAGTAGGTCAAATTCTACTTCCATTCACAGGGGTGGAAATTAATGCTCACCTGTAGGCCTCAGGCTAGTAGAAATTACCTCGACCTAATAAAAGTTTAATTCTCCCTGACTGTAAGGCCTGTACATCTTGTTCACACATGCTGTAAGTTATCTATTTTCCCTTCTATTCCCCCATCAAATCACAGCACTTGACATTTAGCACAACCAGAGTCTTTAAAGATTGAAATTTGAAAGTCTTCTTATTTCATAAGGACAAGTAACCTTTAACAGGGCAAGCAGAACAAACATCCCACCAGCCCTGAGGGCCTGTTTGTTTTTTGAGTCAATTTCCATCCCTGGATTACTGCTGTGCAACACACAACAAACTGAACTGGGACTATACATACCGTATTCCACGTAATAAGCGCCCAGGGCGCTCTCAAAATTAGAAACAGGGGGCTCTTATTAGAATATTATTTTGGTGAAAAAGTTGAAAGGTAAATTTCGTGGTTTATGCTGACAGCCTGAAATGTTTATGTACGACAGATATATTTTTCCAGAATTTAATTGCCCATAATTAAGGGTGCATATAACACACGAGTGCGCATTATACACGAAAAAAATAAGTCTTGTGTACAGTGATCAATCGGAAGGGTGCCAATTGGGATTGTTCACAAGCCAATATATTAGCAACTATCGCCGTGGGCGCTTATTAGAGCGGGGCAGGTATTATGTTGAATACAGTAGTGACTAAGTGTATATCGAATGATGCAATGATGCATTCAGATACACTCTATGATTTTTGTAATACTGATCCATATCTTTTCACAAATTAATTAAATTGCCTCACATCAGATGCCCTACAAACACATAGTGTTGGACATTTTGGCTTTATCAAATGATAGGATTTATTTTATCCATCAAAAATACAGATGAATAAATTAAATTAAATTTTGTTTTGAATTTATTGATGGCTTATGGCCTTGGTTGGGCATTTACAATGATAAACGTAACACGTAAAGGGATCTGAAATATTGTAGACAATATCTTGACTAGACAGGGAAGAAATGTATAAAAGACACAAAAAACACACATTGCAAAAGTTCACTCAAGTGGAAAAAATAACTAGGGAATGTTCCACTATAGACAGCAATCTCCTTGTGGCTGTCAGAGTAGTTCCACAATATGACAGGTTCTTATATTCTTAATATAGGTGTATTTATTTATTAATGACATATGCTCTTATTCCACTCAGACTTTTTCTTCTGGCAACCACCTTCCACCATTACATGTATGGCTGATGGTGTGCCTAGTGATGTACACTTAGGTAAACTGACGGGAACACCTGTGACAAACAACAGCACCTGATTCTCATGACGACTGCTATAACGAACGTCGGCCATCACTGTCAAACTGCCGCAGCTCTCATCTTCCAGGTTAACTAATGTTTCACCTCACCTCAGAAGTAACAGTTGCATTTTCCAAACAAAATCATTAAATTGCAAAACCATTCCGCCATTATATTTTCATTAGTCAACCCTATCTTCATCCCCAAATTTTTTTTAAATCAAACTCAGCCAACCCTATTTTTATATAAAAAAGGTGTTTTTAACAAATCAGCATCTCTCTTTTCTCACAAAATGATCTGCCAACCCTATTTTCATACCAAAAAATATGTTTTTTACATAAACCTTTACACTATACGTTTTCTGCCAAAACATCACAGATGGCAAAATATCTTGTGACGATGTAGGGAAAAATAAATGTTCTTTCTCGATCAAATAGATTAAGAAAGAAAAGATGGCATCCTCCATGAAATCACTACCAATTTTTCATTTTCATTTTGGAATCTGCACTGTCAATGAAATAAAGTACCTAAACGGGTAGGTTTTTTTTAGGACAAGATGGTGGCCCCATGCGAATGCTTCTAGTTTCTGTGAATCCACCATATTAGGATGTAACTGGTTAGGTAGAAACAGTGCAGGGATGATCAGCTTGTACATGACAGACATGGCATCAGATTAAGATAAATGTTTGAGGCCAAAGCAATTATTTGATTTTCATTCTCGCTACCAAGCAACCCATCTCACACTGTTTTGTAGATAATGTATATACCCTTAATGTTTGGTTAATATGCCTACAGAACAGTTAAAAAAATAAATAATGTAAATATAAAAAACTATTTCTACATCAGTTAAATAATTTATTGTAGCCTAAAAGGATTTAATAATATCCAAGACCCGTGAAGATCCGGGGTAGAATAGGTCTTCAGCAACCCATGCTTACCCTAAAAGACGACTATGCTTGTTGTCATCGTATCCCAAATGTGTGGAACGATGCTAATGATATCAATCACTGGATTGTCTGGGCAAGACTCCATTATTTACAGACCGCCATCATAGAGCTGAAATATTGCTGAGTGCAGCGTTAAACAACAGCAAATCGAAGTAATATCCAAACAACATACATGAACTTTCACCAATCCTGAAAATGAAGAAATATAAAAATTCTGGACTTTGGTCAGCCAAACTGACCTTGAGGTATATGCATTATTCCAACAGTGAGTCCAGCAATGATGTCTGCCACAAGGTCGTGCCGTATACTGTAGCCCCTCAAGATCCTCATGAAGGGGAACAAGGACGTGAAGAACTTCCCTACACATTTTCCCGAGCAAGATAACTTGTTCACTTTCTTCTTAGCCCATGTGTGAGGTAATGTCACCGGCCGTTTCCCGCTCTCGAAGCCTTTGTCGAATTCCAACTGGTTGTAGATTGGCCTCTCCACAACCATCCTCTCCTCTCCGATTAAGGAGTTCCTGAGTTCATCTTCCTGGCCTATCATCTTTTTCTTGCCTCCTGAAACAAATATTGTTTTGTGAACACAGGGAAAACAGGATTCGTGTAAGTGAGTGAGTTGGGTTTAACGCCGCTTTTGACAGAATTCTTGTTATATCACAGCATGTCGGCTTAATGGGGGAGGAAAGCCTGAAGTGATCACTCTCAGAAGTTTACCACTTTGGTGAAACCCACGAGCACGGGTTTGGTGCTAACACACCTAGAAACATAATCAAGGCGAACCGGGATTCGAACCCACAAACATAAGTTTTTGGCAAGCCCAAGGGACGCAACTCTGCACAGCAAATTGCAGCGCCTTAGATGAGTGGGCCACAAATGGGAAACTATATTATGAAAACAGGCCACATGAAACCTGTACCACATTCACTTACATCACAACTTTATAACAACATGCAGATATGCAGAACAAATCAGACTAGGAAAACCATTAATTGACACAATTCTGAACGTCAAATATTTTTATTGTTTTTATAAGAGGGTGCTCTAAATGTTTAGAAGAAATCTGTTTACAACAGCACAGCAGCTATCAATATTATTGATTACAATTTTCTTTAATCTGTCCTGTTTGGACCAGTCAAAATACTGATACAAAATACTGATACAATAAAATACGACATACCAATCCGTTCATATTTGTATTATCATAAGTAAAACTTTACCACTTTGCCAAAACAGTTTCGGCCTTACAATCTAAATCCATTAAAAAATATTTGTAACAAAATATCCATTATTTTGAGTGACAACAGGTGTAAAACGTATTTAAAAAAACAATAATTCTTATATTCCAAATAAAACTGCAAAAAGAACCTCCAAGGCAATCATGACCAATTCACAGACACTCCACAAGTATCTAACAGTACAAAACATGGCAGTATGTGATCCCAATCACGACTTAAAAATACCTACTTTGTAACACACAAAAAATACACCCTAATCAGTATTTCACCAAATGTCTTGCACCACTGAAGTAAACATTCAGAAATCAACCTAAATCTCTGTTTATCTCCAGGCATCCTCCCTAATCAAAAGAGCATGGGGGTCTAACCCGCCCCTCCTTAAACACAAGAATAGAAGCTCAACCTGAAAATAAGCCCTCTAATTAACAAACTTCACATCACCTTCGACAAACAATGTTGAAAAGCTATACACATGGCAAAGTTTATTTCAGTTAATCTTCCCTGTCCCAACCTCCGGCTTATCTTCCTCCATGCGGAGTTAATGCAGGAAACTGGAGAGGAAGTAGAAGAAGAGGCCTTCTACCAGAGGAAGTGAACCTGTATATGTTCCTAATTAACCACAAATGTATTGCATCTACAGATTGAGGTGAAATCTTAATTCATTTACATAACTGCTGGTGAGGTTGCAAGGTTAAATAAGTCTGATTTATGCTCTTGATTCAAGTCTGATAACTTTATTATATTACATTTTTTATATGTTTAGCTAACGAGAAAACTGTGTGATAAATATTGTCAGGTTTTAAGGTGGAAACCTTGTTATAGCTCCAGTGCTAAGTGGAGACACATTTGGAGCTTGAAATGTGTGGTTACTATCCACGACATAGAGCAACATTTTATTTTGTGTATTTCATGCAGGTGTCATAGCAACCAACTTGGGACATTTGTCTTAATGAACATTTAATTCCAAAGGCTAATTACCCTGTAGCCATGACATCTATATGGCTAGAATCACTTCATTGTCATTTCTCACAAGATGCTAATCTCAAATGTTAATCCCTAACTTGATTATCTTAAATAAGTATCATTGAGCAGAAATGCCTATCCGAATGCAGAGGGTAAAGGGAAGTAACTTGTTTCCTTGTATGCTGAGTTAAACCATGGACACTTAATACGATATTGAGGGTCTATGGTTAAACCACGGACATATATTCCTGACTTGTATGAATGAATGAAGGCAAGATAAATTTGTTGTCAACCGATCCCTTGGACCATATAGTGTCATGTACCCAGTGTAAGCCATGAATATTTTATTATGATACTTTGCATATTAATCAAACTGGTGCCTTTTGATGGCATTTCTATAAAAAAAAAAACTTTTCATGTTTCTTTGTTGCATGATGTCCACAATCGGGACAAGTTTTCTCTGAAACTACTGAAGTTACATGAATGAAACTTTGCAAGCTTATCTATGGGATACTTATCAAGACTGAGTTTGAAACTTCACGCCATAAATATTATTTTTTTTAGAGTTACGTCCCTTGCTACATATATTTTAACAGAGTTAAGGCCCTTACTCCTTCTTTTCAACGGTAACTTTATATTATTCACTACTTCATAAACAAAGTTCTACTATGCCCCATGATGGGTAATACTGATAACTGTTCTATTGTTTTCATTACTTTTTATTATGATTATCCATATACAAATACCGTATTGACGTAATAAGCGCCCAGGACTCTCTCAAAATTAGAAATAGGGGGCTCTTAGTAGAATAAAATTTAGAGTTAAAAGATAACTTTCGTGGTTTATGCTGACAGCCTGAAATGTTTATGTACGACAGATATATTTTTCAGGAATTTAATTGCCCATAATTAAGGGTGCATTTAACACACGAGTGCGTATTATACGCGAATAAATAAGACTTGTGTACATTGATCAATCCAAAGGGGTGGTAACTGGGAATGTTCACTAGCCAATGTATTAGCAAATATATAGCGCTGTGGGCGCTTATTAGAGCTGGGCGCTTAGTACATTGAATACGGTATACACTCAAACTGGCAAGGTGTATATATGTATCTAGTCTGTCATGAACAACACTTTCTGATTTAATTCAAATGTCAGCACACGTCTTTCTGTATGCTCGCAGTGTTCTCGTATTTTGATGTGCGTTCTTACTGTTGATTATAGGTATACAATAATTGAGGGACTACTGACGTAGGACGACCTATTTGAAGTGGAATTGAAAAGACACCTCGGTCAGACATAAGTCGTATATCAATCATTAAAATGCTTCCTTTAAATACAGTAGGTATTCCGAGCTGATTTGATTTTCAGTCAAGTCGCGTCTCACGCCCGACCATGACACCAGCATTATTTGAGTTGACAAAGGAGAACATAGCAAAGTTAAAGTGAATTTTAACTCTTTGAAATGAAGCATTACACATGTTAATACCATTCAAAAGATTCTTAATAGGGAATAAACGTGAAACTGTGACTATTATATGTCAATCTGTTGATTATTTTTATCGATCACTCACTGTTTACATGTGCCATGACAACAACAACCCATTCAAACACGGTAGTTGTATAACGCTCGTGACAACAGAGCTCACGGCGTGTCTGTGTTCTTAAGTGTGGGACCCGTGAAGATCCGGGGTAGAACAGGTCTTCAGCAACCCATGCTTGTCGTAAAAGGCGACTAATGGGATTGGGTGGTCAGGCTCGCTGACTTGGTTGATGCATGTCATCGATTCCAATTGTGTGGATCGATGCTCATGAAATTAATCACTGGATTGTCTGGTCCAGACTTGATTATTTACAGACCGCCGTCATATAGCTGCAATATTGCTGAGTGCGGCGTTAAACAACAAACCAACCAACCAACCAATCTTAAGTGCGGATACTTGTCTGAGATCAAAATGTCCGCAGATTAGTTTGAATATGACCAGAAACCTTCTGAATACTGGCTGCATTTATCTCTCACTCACTAACCACTGATGTGTGTGTGAAGTCAACACTGATTGTCCCTTAGTGTTTTGTGCATGAGATTATGTAGATGAAAATACTGCCATGACAAGTTGACTATCTATATACAGTAGTAGTATTTGGTTTGTTGTTTGATGTTTAACACCGCACTCAGCAATATTCAAACTACATAACGGCAGCCTGTAAATATTTAGGTCTAGGCCAGACAATCCAGTGGTTGACATCATGAGCATCTATCTATGCAATTGGGGTACGATGACATGCATCAACCAAGTCAGTGAGCCTGACCACCCGATCCCGTTAGTCGCCTCTCACGACAAGCATGGGTTGCTGAAGACCTATTCTACCCCAGATTTTCATGGGTTGGTATCAGTATTAGTAGTAGTATTAGTAGTAGTAGTAGTATTCATTGTAGTAGTACCAGTTGTGATGTAGGCGCATTAGGAATACTGTCAATTTGACACTAACTAATATGAGCAACATAATCACTAACATTGACACAAGATGGCCCTCCAGTTTTAATCCGTTAAATCAACAACAGTTAAGCGGGTTAAACATCACAGGATAGTGGATACCACATTGGGACTTCGCGAAAACAATTTTGATCAAGATCCTGCAAATACCCCCGACCACTATGTGCTGACCTGGCACATGGTGATTCTTGTATATACATCCACCTGTATAAAGCAAACTTCTACATACCACACGACTCCATATTGTCACTTCCTACCAAGAAACATAGGAATATGCAAAGACCGTATTCGACATAATAAGCACCCAGGGCACTCTCAAAATTAGAAATAGTGGGCTCCTATTAGAATATTATTTTGGTGAAAAACAACAGAGTTGAAAGATCATAAATTGTGTGGTTTATGCTGACAGCCTGAAATGTTTATATAGAACAGATATATTTTTCCAGAATTTAATTTCTGTGATTAAGGATGCATATAACACACGTATTATACACGAATAAATAACTCTTGTGTACATTGAACAATTGGAAGGAGTGCTAATTTGGATTGTTCACTAGCCAATATATTAGCAAATATCGCCGTGGGCGCTTATTAGAACAGGGCGCTTATTACATCGAATATGGTAATTATTAGCAACGTTACAAATGTCTCCAACACTTGCATGGGTGTTGTTACAGCTATCAGTCGGGCTGATAAAAAAATATAATAATAGATTTGTTTCTTTAATGGTAGCTTTAGAGACTTGAGATGGGATCCTTTAAAGGGACCTAACTCTTGGTTTTGTTCATCTCTAAGTATTCTAATTTTGGGGGCTTTTTGTATTGGAATCAGTAAAATTTATAAACTTTATAAACATTACACATAT